CCCCAAAACCCCAAAACCCCAAAACCCCTCACTGATGATTTCTATAAGAGGAAAGAATTTTAGAATTGATTTTATAAGTAAAAATGCATACCCGAAATAATAATAAGCCGAATACAATTACTGACTCAACAGTTTCTACTCTTACCTAAACTTAAAGGTATGCCTGCATTTAACTTACATTATTTCAGAAGATAATCATCTGCTGTTACAAAATAAAATCCTCAATCAAAGAAATTGCTGAACGAAGAAACTCATCAGTCTAGCGGAATTAGTTAAACTGCCAATAATTTTAACTAAACGCAAAAATCTCAAAGAATTGCAATCAGAACCTAGTCTAGAGACAAGAAGACTTCTGTTGGTAAATAAATTCTTCCAATCAATTATCATTAATGAATAGATCCATACAAAAATCTGATAACCTAGGTTTAAAGAAGCGACTAAGTTCCAGCTGCTGCACCAGTTGTTGCACTGCCCAAAACTCAAAATGGACATAAAAAGTAATATACTCATATCTAATAACTCAAAAACAGCAACTCCAATAATGCTAATTAGCAAATTTCTTAAGCAATCCCTGAAGGCTAGGGATTATTGGGAACAAGATCAAAGTAGAATGCTCATAAGAAAACTTTGGTTTTAGATTTAGATGAAACTTTAGTTCATTCATCCTTTAAGCCTCCTGAGCAGCCTGACATCGTTTTGCCCGTTGAAATTGAAGGTAAAGTCTGTTATGTGTACGTCCTCATTAGACCAGGAGCCATTACATTTCTTGAGTAACTTGCAGAATACTATGAACTTGTGATATACACTGCCAGTTTATCGAAATATGCAGAGCCCCTAATGAATATTTTAGATTAAGGAGAATGGTGCAGTCATCATTTATTCAGAGAACATTGCACGTTTTACAATGGAATATTTGTTAAAGATATGACTTAACTAGGAAGACGAATGCAAGACATAATTATAATTGACAATTCTCCAAGCTCATATCTATTCTAGCCAGAGAATGCTCTACCTATCTTATCATGGTATGATGATAAAGAGGATTAGTTACTTTACTAGTATATTCCGATGTTAAAGGAATTATCAGATGTTGATGATGTAAGACCATTTATTATGGCTTCTGTTAAAGATAACATTTTGGATATCGACAAAGCCATGTAGCTACTTAAAGCTTATAAGGATTAATAAGAATAAAATATGCTTAAGAGTAGTAAATTAATATCTTCTATTAGTAGTAGTGGGGTAGCTGGTATTGGGGTTGCAACAAGCTCTACCACAACAGAAAATTAGAGTGAAAATAATGGCAGTGTAACAAACTCGTAAAAATAGCTTCCAGGACCAAATAGTAATTCAATTGTTGGAATGAAAATCTAAGAGACCCAGGTTAAAAAGGGGGAGTAAAAAAGTCCCAATAAAAATTTAAGTAAAACTTAAAGAGTGATTACTGGAATAAGTCAAACAGTTAAGTAAGATAAAGACCGTAAAGTCATAGCAAACCCAGTCATTAACTAGAGAGATGGAACATCTTCAGCAAAGAGGTTCATTGCATCTGCTAAGTAGAAGTTAAAGATTGAACCAACAGGTCATCTCTTATAAAATAATGCATAAGATCAAAACAATGCAATTAAAAAGCTTAAAAGACCTCTAACCACATCCAAAGACTCCAAAACTTAGGCAATAGATAAATCCAATAAATAATTATCTGATATAGGCTAGCCATCTGCAAATTTGCAAAGAAAGTAAATATAAGTAGTCAGTTAATAGCTACAAATTGAAACTGAAAATAGCTAAATGTAAATAACAGACATTTAAGATTTTCCCTCCAGTGAATCGACTCCATAATAGACACCAGATCTAGAGCATCCAGCAAATCAAATCAACAAAATCATGCTTAGCGGTCCAGTTCAACTTGTGAATTGTAGTTAGAAGAAGAAATTAATTAGTGAAATCGCTACAAATTAATCATCTAGTCTTACAAGAGAGTAGATCATTCAAATGAGAAATCTGAAAAAGCAGCAATTCTAACCCGATCAAATTAATTTTATCAATTAAAAACAGAAAACTAATTAAAGCTAATAAAATAAGACCACTATTCAAGATTATGTTGAGACTGGATTGACTACTAATAATGATGTAGCTAGAAATGGTAAGATCTCATCCTTGAACAAGAGAAGTAACAGAATAGCAAATATGTAGAATGGTTCCTCAACTAGCAATAACAGTAATCATGTAAATCTACACCACTAAAATAATAACAATAACAATCAGTAAACTTCAGCCATGAGACCAAAACCAAGTATTAACATAAATGAATAGAGCCCGTTCAGGGCAAGAGGGTCTTAAGCTGGTATGGAAAATGGTATAGTCATGCCTCAATCTAGTGCTTATAGCTAGTCAGCCAAGAATTAGAGTGCGTAAAGAGAACATTAAATGATCAAATCATAGTCTTAGATGTCCTCTTAAACCCCAAGTAAACAAAGTGCTCTCAGCACTAGACATAGAGAGTCTCACTGTGATATCCCAGGAGAGGATGGAGTAATCTAAAAAGTATACAATAGTCAAACAGAAAGTAGCATCAATAGAACTCCTAAGTCTGAAATTAACTAGCCTGGCAAGCTTTTTGAAAAATCTGGTACTAGAGGAAACTCAAGCACAAACCAAATAACTCATAACTCATCTAATAAAAAAATAGATGATAATTCTCTTTCACATACACAGCCAAAGATTATGAATTTCAACTCAAGATTTAACAACAATGGCAATTTTAGCAAGGGAAAACCGAATAATGCAGACTAGCAACAATAATAGTTCACTAATCTGCTCAGACAAAAGATCGATTTTAAGAACATCGATATCAACGATTCTTCATAGTAAAATTTCAACTCATAACTGTCACCTACCAACAATACTCTTAGCATATTTAAGATAAATTCACCAAAGAATAATATAGTCGGAAGCGTGCATTAATCTTAGCAATAAAATAAGACTCAGACCGATCACTTGCGATAATACTCAACAAATGCCATGAATTTAAATAACAGTAATTAAAGCTAGCATCTACTGCATAAGAGTCATGTATAGGAGGAAGAGAATCAACAATAAAGTAGTATTATAATGATGCATCACAAGGCACAACTTTCATCTTAAATAAGAAATGCTGACAAATAAAATAATAACTATTCCCAACGAATAGGGGCAATTAACAGAATAAATAATAACACCCATCAGTATCATGGATAAAATGTTAATGGTAATCATAGTAACATACACTAGTCAACCATAAACTCCAATAATATATAGCTTTGAATTAAAATATAAATCTATGATAACTAAGAAACTACTAATATACAGCATTATGTCATTCAAGCACGACATTCACACCAATAATATTTACATTTTCACAACTACTTATTCAATTTACATCTTATCGGTAGGGGTTTTGGGGTTTTGGGGTTTTGGGG